TGTAGATACCCATCTCGAACACGCTTACAGAAAGACTTTTCACCATGCTATTTTGACAATTTTTTTGCCCGTTTCAGGTACTACAAAGGGAAGCAAGGTTAGGTTGATGTTCATGTGAGTTTGGCTAGTTTATTTTATCAGTTTTTATACAGCAATATGGTGAAGGATGGTGAAATTTGTTGCTAGTTTATGGAACCATCCAGGATGTTTGCATGCAAATCTTGTCTATTATTTGTTGCTTATGGCCACTCTGATTCCTTCCAAGAATTCTTATCCTATGATCATAGCACAATACCTATGTATTTCAGATTGTGTAAAAACATCATCATTTGCATAGGCAGTTGATGTAAAAAGCCCCTGTATTGGCATCTACTATGTATGAAACTCGGGTGGATTGATATTTGAATTTTTTTGGTGGTGCAAATCTCCATTTTCTTGTATAACACAACAATGAGGGAGTACCTCATTCACTAGACCATCCCTTGTCCCCAACCCCATTTGGGTGAATATTAATGTTTGTTCACAAACCTTATGGTTCTATTTTTGGTTAGAGGGTTGTTATAATGAATTTTAACCGTTTTTCTCATTTTTTAACAGTTGCCATGTATATATGTAGGATCTACCATAGCGCTGCTTGTTTGGATCAAAGTAGGAGTTGAAAAACCTAGTGAAATTGATGAGGTGACAAATATTGTTATCACTATGCTGTTATGCAACAATTTATTGCTACATCAGAGCTACTTTAATGGTCAAGTAAAACTCTTGCTATTGTTAAAAAATAGCGAGTCCAAAAATGACTTATCCAATGGTGAAGTAAAACCATTGAGTAAGGTTGAGTATGGTTTGGTTTAGAAGTAAATTAAGGGCCGAACCATTACTTGCAATTTTATGAAATTTAAAACTAAACCGTGCAAATTTTGCAACCAAATCATGCTGACCAGTAAAATGCAGTTTGGTTTGATTTTTAACTGCATTTTTTAGAAATTTTGCTATCATTCACAACATGATTGTAAAATGTTATTCACAATTTAAGAATTGTTTAGATGATTGCCTAAACAAGAACACGCTTACAAAAATTGAGGATTATGACTTTCGTATGTATATTTTGATACAAAGGGTAAATTAGTGATAAATTTATCAGTAAGGATTTGTACGTAAATAAGTCTCGTTAATAAAATTGATTGATAAGTGTCTCAATAAGATATTTGAGTGTATACGATAAGTTTTAAATTTGTATGTGTATATTTAAATGGTCTATTTTGATTTCAAATTGGATCCGTATTTATATAAAGTCACTGATCAAACTAGGAAGTATGATTCACTTATTTTAAGAATTAAAATCAAGTCTTGTATTGAGAAAATCAAATCAAACCTAGATTAGATCAGTTTGTAATTTTTTAAAAAAATTTAGTCAGTTCTATCATCAGCAGTGCTACATGCACAGACTTTTGATACGTAAAATGTATAGAAACTTTCACATGAAAGGTGGGGCTCGCACATGTGGAATCCACTCATATGAGAGATTCTGCACATCAAAATTCTATATAAATAATGTTTTTCGCCTTATTACTTTAACCTCTCTAGTGGTTAAATATCTAAATTGTTAGGTTTTATTATATTTTAACAATAAAAAAATGTGAGAATGCTATATGCTAGAAATGTTATTCTTATGGTGCAAATGTTTGGTAGCGTTTGGTAAAGTTTTCTAAATACGATTTGAGAATAAGAGTCGTATTTTGAGTTTGAGTTTTGGAATTATGATTTATGTGTAGAAAATTTATTTGGTGAATGAGTTTTGAAAATAATTTTGAATTGAGTGAGGAATTTTTTATGTGACATATGATATCTGATATAAAAACTTACAACTTATAACCAAACACACAACTCAAAAATCTATTAAAAGCTCATAATTTTTTTTTAAAAATTTCAAAAATATTGTTTTATTAAAAATATAAAAAAAAATAAAAATAAAATAATCACACTGTTCAGGTCAACTGGCCAGTCGACCGGTCGACCGACCGGGCGTCCGAAGGGTCGATCGGTAGGCAAAATTTCAAAATTTAAGAGCCTGCCTAGAACGAGTTTTCAAAAGAAGGGATGAAATTAATTTTTTAAAACTCAAACCAAACATCATACTAAAATGTAAGGGTAGAACTATGATCCCAAAACCCTTCCAAACATTTTTCCTTACAAAATGCCAAATGGATTGGAGAAATAAAGAGGGTTGTCAGATTTTAGCCAGTCATTGGAGAGTTCAAAATTGAGAACCATGTAGTTTTTGACAATAGCAAGCCTTTTGATGGCAGTGTTATTCTTTATGTTATATTTGACACAAGGAATAGTTGCAGGTAAAATTACTAACTCATCAAATAGAGAGTTGTGATTAAATGGGAAAATTAACAATTCAATAATTGTGATTAAAGCAAGAAAATATAACAAAAATACTATTGGAACAACATTATTAAATTATAATGACAATTTATTCATTATTACAATATAACAATAGTTAGTGTTTTAACAAGTAAATAGTTGGAAATGCTCATTTTGGGTTATAATTGATAGTTTAAGGAGAAATGGTCCCAATTCCTATTTTCAATGGTTATGATTTGTCCACATCATCAAATTTCATCATATTTAACAAGTATCAGAAAATTTTAAAATACAAAATAAACTGAAATTGTTGTTGTAGAGAAATCTAACCATTTAAAGGAACTTGGTGCATCCGCCCATTAGAAAAAATTATTCTATATCACATGTGACAATGTCACAAATATATTTGAACTATTTATTTATGTGGGTTCTATGTGGGTCTCACATGAATGAAAGGTCGAAATTTATTTGTGATATAACCTTGTCAAGTCAATCACAGGTGACAATGAATAATTGCCCTCTATCCAAGCACAAAGTGAATCGATACTCAAGTCTCAACTTTGTTGATGTGGGCAAAGATTGTAGACATAGAGTTGGAGAAGGTGGTTTCTAAGCACAAAGTGAACCATTCTCATGGAGTCAGGCTTTCAATAGGTAAGTATGTACGTATTGTTTGGGTAAGATGATAACAGGTTTGGAATCCTTCAAGCGCAAGGTCATTTTTATTGTAAGAAAAATAAGCACTCTATAACACAATACAACGACAATTAGGATTTCAATGAGACATATTTAAAAAATATTTTTTATGTTGAAACAAGGATATGCTTAGGGGTTGTTTGGGATGACCTAAATAAATGTATTTTTTATTTTTTTATGAAAAGATGTGTAGAAAAGTAGAGAGATGATGTGATGGAAAAAAGATAAAAAGATGGATTATTTTTTGATTGTCAAACTTGGCCTCATTGATATGGGTTTAATTTTTTTTGAAAAAATTACACCGATACGTTGTTAGTAAAATATATTTATTAAGAAATAAAAAATATTATAAGTATTAATAATTAATATTATAAATTTCTTATTAATTTTTATATATATTTTTTTATCTCTGACACCACTGCTAAGTAATTGTTTTTTTTTGGGTAAAAGAAGACACTATAATCATTAGTCCTGTTTGGTAGGGCTTATTTCCAACTTATTTCAGTTTTTACCTTAATTTAAGCTATTTTGATGTGTTTGGTTCAGCTTTACAATACAGCTTATAGCTTTTTATAAGTCAAAAATTAACTTATTCTTTTAGTGGAGGAGGAAAAAGTTAATTTATAGGTAAAAAATAACTTATATTCATAGCTATAAATTATAAGCTGTTAGATTATAAATTATAATCACTTTTTCACAGCTCTACCAAACGGACCATTGTTGAGAATAAAATGTTGCGCTGCCGTTTTTATTGAAGAACAGAATCCAACTGTTGTTTATGCTCTAGTACTTCAAATATAAAATAAAATAAAATCTTCCCTGCACAAAAATTATTTGTGTTATCATTTTTTCTTACCATTTTAAATTTATTTAGATTACTCTTTGCTACATCTAGCATGCCCCCAAAATTTCATTGCCTGCTTCATTTGTACCTATATATTTTAAATTTCATTTATTTATAATAGCAATAATAATTCTTGGAGCAAATTACAAATACATTCTATGAAGTTCACTTAAAATATGAATTACCCCTTAAAGTTTGAAATATTATAAATAGTCTCTATTAGAATTTTTTATTTAACAGAATTGACTGAAAAAATAAAATTTTTAACTGTTCTTTTATACAATGATAAAATTATCTAAATTATTAATTAAAATAAATTTCTGACATCATTAAAAATCATTAATTAACTTGATGATTTATTAATAAAGGATCTTTGTTATGAAATTAAAAACTTTAGGGAATGGATTGTAATTTCCAAAATTATATGGGAAAAATTGTATTTTAAATAAATCTTAGGGGTATATTTGTAATTTATCCTAATTCTTATTGTTAATTAACCTAGCACATAAGATAAATAAATAAATGGATTAAATTAAGAGCACGAAGCTTTCATAGCTCAATTGGTTAGAGCACCTGTTTAGTAAGCAGGACGTCACAAGTTGTTAAATTTCCTATGGCAAAAATCCCCTATGTGGGAGCTTAGGAGCATAGAGGTTAATGGAAGGATCTAGAACTTCTTAGCTCATTCCAACACTTGAGAGAACAGGAGAATTCTAGAATATCCTTGAGTATTCAAGACACTTAGACTTGTAAATATCTTGTATAGATATTTCTATAGCATTCTAAAATATTCTTATAGCTTGTAAGAAAGGCTTCCAAGTGAAGCCTCTCCATGTATTTCCTAGTGGCTTCTAGAGTGTTCTATGAAACGCCAAAAGTGCCTATAAACAGGGAAGGAGCTCATTTGCACTCTCTCCAAACTCAAGTTGGTTAGTTCCTATCCCCCTTGAGTTTGCGGGGGGCTGTTAAAATTCACCCACTATCACCTACCACACTTCACCTACTCTCCACCTACTCCCAAACACACTCCTATATAATAGGAATCCTTGTTAATTGTAAAATACAACAATCTTGTAAAACATCAATCAATAATACATAAATTCTTACATGGTATCAGAGCAAGGTTAACAACCTAGTCATTCTGCTTCACCGGCGGGCGGCAGTCTCGCCTTGGCCGCCCGCCGGACCTCTACACCTACCTTCACTCAGCAGCCGCAGAAGCCCCACATCTGCCACCGTAAAACACCCTCATCAGTTTAATCATCAACCTCATCTAGCTCCTCAGTCAGCAAGTCGTGCTCCTCCTCCGTAGAAGCACCGTGCCGCCGCTACCAACACACACCATTACTTTGCGGGAGGAGGGTCTCTTCTCTCTCTCATGGCGATGAACACCACCGAAGCCTCGTGGAGCTGCTCCAAAGCAGATGCAGCTTCTTCCCCAGCCGACTCAGCTTCCATCCGAAGGGACTGAATATCTTCGCCTCCGCCGTCCGATCCAAACCCTTCCCCGTCGATCACAAGCACGGGATCTACCTCGTCCTTCCTTCAAAGTCCCTCTCGGCACCTCTTCTTCCTCTCGGCATGCATCTCTCTCTCTACGCAGAAAGAGAGACACAGCAGCACAAAAAGAAACACAGGATTCTTGTTGCTTGATGAAGAACGGTGATTAGAAACTTTGAATCCTTCCACAATAGAAATTGACTTCGAGAATAAGTGAAGCAAGAAATACACTGCCCTTCTTCATAGCTGTGTGAGTTGGCTTCTCCTCTGTGCAGAGGAATAGTAATGCGACTCAAGCTCCTTCAGGCTAGCAGCTGCCTCCTCTCCAATTCTAGCCAACATGTGATCTGTTTTCTCCGCCTGTTGGTTAAATTCATCTATTCTTTGGTCTACATGGTCGTTGAGGGATGCAAAACCAGAAAAAATTGCTGTCTGTTTCAACTCCGACACCAACTTAAGTAATGAGTCAGCTGCCTGAACCTGTTCATGCATCAGGAGAAAAAAAAAGGTGAAAAAAACAAAATGACATTGACAAACCAGAAATACGATACAGAAAAACAGTTTTTAACCAATTGATTCACAAATCAACTGATACACACAAATTTCGACCAAATTCTACATAATCACACTGTTCTGTTAAGAGTACTACTTTGTGAATAGAACCCAAAATCTGAAGAACATGAGAAGCTAAGACCATTTGCATGGAATGATTTGATGAGAAATGATAAGAAATGAGGACAAACAAAATTCTTTCTCATGTTCAGTTTACAAATCTTGTAAGAAATTGTGAGAAAGGGTTAGAAATAGAGAGAAAGAGAACTCTCTTACTATGCCACTTTCATTTCTCACCATAAATGGTGAGATTTAGAGAGAAACAAATTGTTTGGTTGTATTTTTTCTTTTATAATACCAAGATTATCCATCAAAATACAAAGAAAAGAAAAAGAAATCTTGTTCATATCCCCATTTCACATGCTTTCCTTTCTTACTCATTCAAACATGATAGTGAGAAAACACAATCATTTCTTTTATTTTCTCATCCCACGATCCAATAATTGGTGATATTCCTCTAAATCAAATTTCAATGCAAAGAAGTTCTAAGTTGCCTAATCAAATAGAAAAAAGCTTAAGCAATGTAGAACTTCAGTCGCCTTATTGCAGATGTTTTACTTGAAATGTGCATCACACTAGCGGTCTTGAGATATATAAATAAGTACACATGAATTCATGTGCATGCATGCGTACTTTTACCCATGATATGTAAGAAGAAAAATAAATAACAAACTCTCTTACCATTCTAGCTGCACGCATCTCCATCATGAAAGTTTCTTGTGAATTTCTTACTGGTGGATCATTAACCTACAATATAAATAGTTCTGTGATTACATCTAAAATAGATGTATCTACAAATTCTATTTCAATTATTTTTTAATGTGTATTAAAAAGTATGGTAGATAACCTCAACAACAAAAGAAACCACTTCTTGGAAGATAGAGAACTTTGCCGACCTCCTCTTTGCATTACCTCCTCAAATAGACGTCATAGTAACAAATTTACTCTACTGAAGTTATCAAGCATATGATTTACGGGCCAATATTGGTAATAATACCTGTATGTTCATGTAATGTTCTCTTTGGCGTTGTTTGGAACATGGATTTAAGTAGGAATTTGGAAAGGGAAAGAAAAAGAAAAAGGAAAAGAAAAATGCGAGGGAAATGGAGAAAAAAATCACATTTCACTGGTATTTTCCTTTCCCTTTCCAAATCCATGATCCAAGCACAGCCTTTGTTGGATGTACAGAGAATCAGGCTATATTTGTAGAAGGCTCTTATAATTGTCAACAGGCGCTTGATATCTAGTTGTCAGCCTAATTCAAAATGCCATTCCAATTTGACTTTATTAGACATATAAAAAGTGATGGTGGGAAACTTAGGAAAGCCACCCACCCTCTACAACATGACATTAACCGATAAACAAAACAACAAAATGGATTTAAAAGCTTTGGTATTGACAGGCCACATTAAGTCAACTTGCATACCAAGTCAAAGATAAATATACTTTAGGCATCATCAAGGAGGTCATTGGCAAGCATAGACATTCCAATAACTCATACAGAAGTAACAAATAATTTATAGGAATCAAAATAAATGAAAATCATGATTTTAAATCTTAGTAATCTTCTTCCCAACTTTAATCCCATTATAAGCTGTGGATGTCTTCCTGAATCTAACTTATAAAATTCTGATAATCATGGAAACAAGAAATGCCTATAAGAACTATGTGTAATATAAGTTCCTAAATATAAATTAATATAAACAAGAATTTGGGGCTTAAATCTAAACTACCGAAATCAATATATTTGCCGACACCAAACTTCCCCAAAATATGTGAAAACTAGAATAGTAATTCCCATAATTACTTTAAGCCTTGAGACATTATTTGACTAACTACAAATCAACTAAAGCATTTACTGGCCTTACTCACACTTACTTTATATGGGATCACTGGTTCAATGGTTACAAGTCAGCCTACTAACCTTGAGGTTCAGGGCTCAAACCCAAGGGCAACCACTTTATGCAAATCATGTCAAAAGTTTGGTCTGTACCAAATCTATGCCTCCCACACCCATCAAACGGGGACTAAATTGGGTGTAATTTTTTACTCACACCTACTTCATTCTTTGACATGTTATCATGTATGGATTAAAAAAAAAAAAAAAGTTGCTTAAATTATGCGAACTTTGAATTCAAATTGGATTTGGTTGGTCATCCAACTTAGTACTTCAGGAGGCCGTGAAACGAGTTTAAACATCAAACAAGTAGGTCACGTTACTACTATTAGTCTAGAAACTACGGGGCTTGGAAATTAGATAAAACCAAAGCTCAGACAATACCTACTCTCATACACAGTCTATATAACGCAGAATTAAAGAAATGCATCAAAGATGGTCCCGTTTGGTTTTGCACTAAAAATAACCCAGCAAGAAGGTTCACAAAGGTCACACACACACACACACACACACACACACACACACATATGTATATATAGAGAGAGTGAGAGAGAATACCCTGGCCACATTAACAAGGTAACTGAAATTATCAACAATATTTCCAATGTCGTTATCAACTCTCTGCAACAATGTCTTCTGTTTTTGAGCTGCAGCTGCTGCTGCAGCGGAGGTTGGGCCGCCACCGCCACCACTTCCACTACCACCTCCAACTCCTCCTTTATTCATTGTTGATTTTCACTAGCTGTTTGTTGCACAAAGAAAAACAGCTAGATTCAGAAATACTGAAATCAAATTTATAGGCTGATAACCAAGAACTAAAAATTCTACCTTTTTTTACTTTGGTTTTCCAAGAACTAAAAAAATTCAATCAAACCCGTGTGGTAAAAATGTACCAACATAATTATGAATCCAATTATCATATTAAAGTACAAGAAAAGACAATTGTAGTATGATAAATGCTTGACAAAGTGAAACCCACATGTTACATAGTTTAGAACTGACTGAATCATAATTACATAAAAGAATCTACAAATCAAAGACCCAAATCAAAAACCCTAAATTTTTGTTGTTTGAAAAAGCGAGTTTGGAGGACAAACCTGGTTCAATCTATGGCGTTCTTCTCAAACGATTTCTTCTTCTTCTCTCTCTCTGTTCGTTTTGCTCCTATTTCGTCTGATGCTGCATTGCCCCAGAATTTGTCCCAAAATAGGGCACCAAATTTGTTAATTTCTTGTATTATATTTAAATTCAAATAGACCCAATTAACATTCAGGCCTTTGAATGTCCACTTAACATTGAGGCCCAAAGTTTTTTTTAAGTTGAGGTCCTCAAAATATAAACCTGTAACAGATGCAAACAGTGTGGGTGTTTGGTAACGTTATGTTTTCGGTTTATATTTATAAAAATTTTATAAATTGATTTTTGTTTATTTTTAAAAAAATATAAACTACAAACGCGTTTGATAATTGACAAAATGTTTAAAACAATTTAAAAATATAAAAAAGTGTGAGAAATGGCAAGTGACGGCAGAAGACAGTGGTGGAAAGTGGTGATGGTGGGTGGTGGGTAGTTGGTGGTGGTGGGTGGGTGACGGTGGCGGATGGTGGGTGGTAGCGAGTGGGTGGTGGTGGTGGTGTACTCACACCTGCTTCATTCTTTGACGTGTTATCATGTATGGATTAAAGAAAAAAAAAAAAGTTGCTTAAATTATGCGAACTTTGAATTCAAATTGGATTTGGTTGGTCATCCAACTTAGTACTTCAGGAGGTCGTGAAATGAGTTTAAACATCAAACAAGTAGGTCACGTTACTACTATTAGTCTAGAAACCACAGGGCTTGGAAATTAGATAAAACCAAAGCTCAGACAATACCTACTCTCATACATGTAACCGACGGCATTAAAGAAATGCATCAAAGATGACCCCATTTGGTTTTGCACTAAAAATAACCCAGCAAGAAGGTTCACAAAGGTCACACAAACACACACATATATGTATATATAGAGAGAGTGAGAGAGAATACCCTGGCCACATTAACAAGGTAACTGAAATTATCAACAATATTTCCAATGTCGTTATCAACTCTCTGCAACAATGTCTTCTGTTTTTGAGCTGCAGCTGCTGCTGCAGCGGAGGTTGGGCCGCCACCGCCACCACTTCCACTACCACCTCCAACCCCTCCTTTATTCATTGTAGATTTTCACTAGCTGTTTGTTGCACAAAGAAAAACAGCTAGATTCAGAAATACTGAAATCAAATTTATAGGCTGATAACCAAGAACTAAAAATTCCACCTTTTTTACTTGGGTTTTCCAAGAACTAAAAAAATTCAATCAAACCCGTGTGGTAAAAATGTACCAACATAATTATGAATCCAATTATCATATTAAAGTACAAGAAAAGACAATTGTAGTATGATAAATGCTTGACAAAGTGAAACCCACTTGTTACATGTTTAGAACTGACTGAATCATAATTGCATAAAAGAATCTACAAATCAAAGACCCAAATCAAAAACCCTATATTTTTGTTGTTTGAAAAAGCGAGTTTGGGGGACAAACCTCGTTCAATCTATGGCGTGAAAGAGCTCCGGCAGACCGTCGTTCTTCTCAAACGATTTCTTCTTCTCTCTCTCCCAAAATAGGGCACCAAATTTGTTAATTTCTTATATGACATTTAAATTCAAATAGACCCAATTAACATTCAGGCCTTTGAATGTCCATTTAACATTGAGGCCCAAAGTTTTTTAAGTTGAAGCCCAATTTAAAGGGTCCTCAAAATATAAACCTGTAACAGATGCAAACAGTGTACAATTCAATTTTTAAATTTTTATTTATTTATATATTTATTTTATGTAAGTGTTGTTGGACCAAATTGAACAAATATATATATATATATATATATTTCGATCAAATCTGAAGTTTGGTCAATAATGTGATAACAAAAATTGAATGAATTTATTATATTATCTATTGAAAAGACACTGATGGATGAATTAGATGATATAAACTTAATTAGTGGTTTTGTTGCTAAAAATGCAAAAAAGGATATTGTTTAAGGATTTTTACCAACTCGTCCCAATAATTAAATCTATTACTTATTAGGTCTTAAGTTTCTATCTCATGGACCAAGAAGTCCTGTTATATTTTTTTATCCCGATTTTGCTTCTGCTACCAACTGGTAAAAATTCCTATTTAAATCCTTCCAAACACTTTCTAAATCTTTATAATATTTATTACTCATTAATTTTTTCAATTTGTATTAACTTCTGTCTTGATCATTTTCCCAAAACTCTTCTTTCTCATCTCTTTCTCTTTCTAGAAAATACCACCATTGTAGCTATGGCCATAGCTATCTACTCGCAACCATCATCGTCATCCGTCACTAACTACCACCATCTCCATCGGTTACCACCATCACTTTCGCTAGCCACTACTACCACAATTGTTCACCAACCATCTCCCACCATCACCAATCTATACTTCACCATCTCTTAACCGTTTCACTCGCTTGCCTAACATTGTTGTCTTCCTTCTATTTTTCCATTACCGTCGCTCTTCTTCCATTTTTCCATTACCGTCGCTCTTCTTCCATCCTACATCCTTCATCTGCCATCATCGTTGTTCTTCTTCAATCATTGATCCACCATCTTCAATGTCAAACTTCACCAATAGCTTCAAATCTAGTTGTTTTCAATGCCGATCTACCATCTTTGGCGCCAATCTAGTACTTAACATGGTTGCCGATGAGATCGAGACACTTGCTACAGTGTGTTGGTGAAGATCTACATTTGTAAAACATGTTGAACTAATCTGATGAATTTATCACTTAATTCAGTGATAAATTTATTACTGATTTATTTAATATGTTGTGGACTGTTGTTGCTGGAATCTTGATATTAATACAATGATCAATTTATCACTGATTTTTATTAATGTTATATTTATCACCTCTCTCTTCCTCACACTCTCTCTATGTAATGCCCTCACAAAAGACATAAAACAATTATTTATAAGATCCATAAACATGATAGAAGAGTTATATTTCATTCATCAGAGTCTTCTTTACAAAAGATATTACATGTATTGCTAACTCTTATTAACAAAAGAAGTGCCCTACGAGCTTACATCTTCCCAAGTAATAACTTGGTTATAACAAAAGAGAGTCCTAGCTCTTTACATATAAGGCCCTTGGCTCAAATATACATGCAACATCAAAACAAAATAACAAAAGGGAGTCTTCAACTCCTAAACCTCCCAAGCTAAGACCTTGGAGGTGGCATGTCACCTGTACCTGAAAAATGATGTCCCAAGTAGGGTGAGCCAAAGCCAGTAGAGATATACTAAACAGTATATGAGAATTAACTAAAACATTAACATCCGATAAATGTTTAACACTTGTAAACCATTTACATCATTTCTGTGACCAATCAATATTCCAAATCCACTTCCATTATTTATCCAAGTCAATTCATTGACATAGTTCATTATTATCTAAACAATTCAAGATGAGACTACAACTCATTTATCAACACTTCAATCATAAATATATTTCAACACTTCCATTCACTTGCCATTTTACGGAACTACGTCCGAGGGAACCGACACCCAAATACATATATGATTTCGGGACTTTCACCATGGATACTCCGGCCAAATTAATTATCAATGGAGTCCATCCCCCATCTCCTCCCAAACAATAGAGTACATCCCCTATCTCCTCCCAAACAAGATACATATAATGTATTTGAACACGTTGTCATATACAATGACCAATTAAATCACATATTTAATATTTATATCCAACCGTCATATTCAATGACATAATCCAATTGATTAGTTTCAATTTACCTAATAATCATGCCGTTTCTACAACAATCATGACTATCTTCCACCGATAACCCAAAACAGTTATTTCTAAGTAGATAAATAAATCTATCAAACAGATAATTTATCAACTTTTTCATAGGTGAGTGATTTATCAATCCAACTACATCATTTAATCACATTTCTCCCTAATTTCATAATTCCCAAACCAATTTCATATTTCCACACTTGATTTCATTATTTCTACAAATAATATATTTAATCCCAATTAGTGCATTTTCCTCTTTTTCTCAAATATTGCGGCCAAATTTGTCACGACCCCAAACCGCCCCTAGTAGTTTGGTATAGTCTTTTCCGTTGAGACAAAAGAACCGTCAACACATTCGCATGATTATTTGTGTCACGACCCCAAACCGCCCCTAGTAGTTTGGTGCCGTGATGGCCAGTAATCCGTAATTACCGAAGGCCAACCTTTCAAAACTTAACACAATCAGAGTACGAATATAGGTGGCTCACAAATGCGGAAGCGATAAATCAATTACAAGCGGTCCATAAGAGCTGTGCGTAGATTAAAGCAGTGCCAAACATTTCCAATTAACTTCACAATTTAAATACAACAAGGTACAAAAATACATGTTACATCTTGATCAAAAGGCTTCTCGAGCCGACATATACAAAATACAGCTAATACAAGTCAAGAAGCATGATTTTCAAGAATTCGCCGACATGCAAAACAGGGCATCGCCGACGTAAATACAAAGTAAGGCCGACAAATACACGAATCCAAAACAAGTATCCCAACGAACTAGGCGTCGCCGCCGTCCTGCTCATCACCTACATATATATAGAGGGGTGAGTACAAAACTCAGTGAATGGTACTAATAATAAAGGTTTTAACATGAATATAGCCGAAGTCTTTCAAAACAGAACATATCAAGACTTTATCAAGACAAAGGATGAACCGTATTCATCGATCAAGTATCATAACATCGGCAAAGCAAGGGATGAACCGTATTCATCATTAATTATCACGAGTATCATAACATCGGCGAAGCAAGGGATGAACCGTATTCATCATCAAATATCAAAAGCGGTACGATCCGTAATCGTTTGGTCAAAAGTATTGCGAAAGTTTAGAGTCCTCCAACACAAGGGACTTGTGCACTTGGTACCGCGAAAGTTTAGAGTCCTCCAACACAAGGGACTTGTGCACTTGGTACCGCGAAAGTTTAGAGTCCTCCAACACAAGGGACTTGTGCACTTGGTACCGCGAAAGTTTAGAGTCCTCCAACACAAGGGACTTGTGCACTTGGTACCGCGAAAGTTTAGAGTCCTCCAACACAAGGGACTTGTGCACTTGGTACCGCGAAAGTTTAGAGTCCTCCAACACAAGGGACTTGTGCACTTGGTACCGCGAAAGTTTAGAGTCC